AAAAAAAAAAAAAAAAAGAGTCTGAGATTCAGGCCATGTTTAAGACCTTAACTGGGGTCTGAGGTTTAGGGCCTGAGATTGGGGCCCTGGCTATCGAGGACTAACACTGGGGGTTGGGAGCCTGTGGTTAGGATTCTGAATTTGGACTGTGAGATCAGCATCAGAGGATGTGGTCAGGGGTCTGATTTCTTTTTGGTTACATTCAAAGCTTGGGAGGGCAGGGAAGATAGCTCAGTAGAATAAGTGCTTGCCTGGCAAGCGCGGGGTCCTGCGTTCAATCTCCCTGGTACCAAAAAACAAAACAAAACAAAAAACCTACCAATCAAAGCTTGGGGTTTGGGACCTGGGTTTATTATTATTATTATTAATTTTTTTTTTTTTTTTTTTTTTTTGGTGGAACTGGGGATTGAACTCAGGCCCTTGTGCTTAGCAGGGAAGCGCTTATTCTACTGAGCCATCTCCCTGGCCCCATGGGACCTGGGTTTAGAGATGCAATTGTTGGGTTCAAGGCTAGGGCCTAAATTCTGTGCATTGATTTTGGAGGTCTGGGGCTGGGACCTGGTGTGGTAGTCAGGCATTTGGAAAGAACTGAGTTTTGTAGTTAGAAGTTGACAGGTCTGAGTTTCAGGGTCTTAGTTTAGGGACCATGGTTTAAATTTCAGCTTGGTTCCACTTTATCTATCTAAAGAGTTAAGAAAGTTGGGGTCAAAGTTTTGGGGCCATTCTTTGAACCTGCTTTGAAGGCCTGAATGTTGGAGTTTTTGTTTTTGAGATGGTAAAGATTTGAAGGCTGAGGCTTGTAGGATAGACTTAGGATCTGAATTACGGTTTCTGGTTTGGAAACTTGAAATTTGGGTTACCAGGTCTGGGCTTAGGGGTCTGAAGTCACAGTTTGCATTTGAGATGTGAGGGATAAGCTCCAATTTTGAGGTTCTAAGCTTTGGATCTGGGTTTGGGGGTCCGGACCCTAAGACTGAGCTTGCTGTGGTAGCTTTAGAGATTACTATTTTGGGGCCTAAATTTGGTAGTCTGATATTTAATTTTGGGTTTGCAGATCTGAGCTCTGGTGTTCTGGCTTTGGGGTCAGTTTGGAGATCTAGATTTTGGGTCTGAGGTTGTAAGGCTGAATTTGGCATGTCAGAGGAGCAATACCAAAGGTCTGTTTTTGGGATCTCAGTTTGGGGGCCAGAGGTTCAGGGCCCTCACCCTCTTCACAGCAGGAGCAGATGGGGTTCATGTTCCATAGTGTCTGCATGAAGGAGGCATCAACCTGGAGCTCCCCGCTGGCAGTTGACAGGTGCTGGGGGCCGCCAGGATGTGGTCAGAGATGATGGGCAGAGGTAGGCAAGAGACCAGAGCCAGAGACCAGAATCAGAGTGGATCCCAGGAAACACAGATTTCAGGCAGAAGATTTTGAAGTTACAGATCAGGAAACCAAGATCAAGGCAGGAAACGGGAAATCAGAAATCAAAAAATTAAGATGTCAGAGGTCAGGAAATAGGAAATTGCAAGTCAGGATGTTGAGGTCCAGAGACCAGCTAGACAAACCAATGGTGAGGAACTGGGGCGGAGCCTGTGTGTCTCCTGCCCTGTAAGAGCCAGCTGGAGGTGGCTTACCAGGTAGCGTTCAGAGGAGACACTGACAAGGATGAGGTCATCTCCAACTCGGACCTTCTCCCCTTCAGACCTCTGCTTGGATGCTGGGTGTGTTGTCCACCAACAAGCTTCTCCTATGGGCAGTGGCGGCATGGATGGTTGGCCATCGGGAAGACAGTGGCTTCCTAGAATGCTTTTTCCCTGGGGCATTCCTAGACACTGAACCTCCCATTTCCTGAGACCATTAATCTATTACTGCTACCACTTCTGCCTAGACTTCCCCCCAAGTCTCCTGTGTAGTACATGTCCATCCCTATGCCCAGACCCTATGCCTCAAAGCCCCTTTTCCTGGCTCCATGGCTGTCACATGCCTGGCTCCAGAGTCCTGCAAACCTTCTGCCCCCTTACTTCCTGCCTCCTGTATCCCATCACATCCCCACATCCCCACCCCAAAGCCCGGCACCTGTCGCATCCTCCTGCAATCCCACATCAAAGGCCAGCTTGTCAGTCATGGAGCGGGAAGTGGTGAGACAACTGAGGTACTAGAGTTGGAGAGGGGGATCAGCCTCCTCCTGGCAACTGTGCCCCATCCCCTGTCCACACCCCTTGATGATGCACTCACCATGCCACTGTGTGCATGTCGGAGTAGGATGGCATGGCCATACAGGAGTGTCCTGTGTCCCCCGCCCTGGGATGACTGCAGGGATGGGGAAGGGCACAGAATAAGCATAGATTCCCCCCAGAATCTCCAAAACATCTGGCCTAGTCACAGAGGAGAATATGTTTTAAAAAAAAGAAAAAGAAAAAGAAAAAAGGGGCCGGGGAGATGGCTCAGTGGAATAAGCGGTTCCCCAGCAAGCGCAAGGGCCTGAGTTCAATCCCCAGTTCTGCAAAAAATGAAAAAAAAAAAAAAAAAAAAAAAAAAAAAAAAAAGAATATGCTCTCCATAAAATATCATGCTCAAGCTTGGAGATAAGGAAGCCTCAGACCCCAACTGAGAGCTTTACCTCAGTTTCCCCATCCATGGCATCAGTTTCTGTTTCTCTGCAGAGCCTGGAGATGGACTGTCACACTCCCCAAAGCCCACTCTATTCTTCCTGCCTCCTTTACTTTGTTGATCATCCAAGGAGATAGATATCTTCCAGATGCCAGGGATACTCAGGGAAGCCCCGGTATCTTGTGTTCCATGAAGCTCGGCCCCTCTGCTCTAAGCCTTCATAACCTAGCTGAGCTGCAGCCCACTCACACTGGGAAATACGTGAATATCTCCTATAGTGATAAGCTGATCCCCTTGTGCTGCCACACCCCCTCCTGAGCACAAGGAGACTCAGCCCTTTTATTGGGTGAGCAGGTATATCCAATGTGCTTCATGGCACCATGCCTCTGCCACAGCTTTTACACGCCCATGCTCCATGGGGGCCATGTGATTAGGCCATGTGATCACATGGCAGACTCGCTCCTGGACTGGAGGGAACCCACACTTGGGGTGAGGAGAGGTAAAGAGACAGATCCCATGCAGTTGAAGATCTGGGGTCAAGGTTGGAGGAAAGGATGGGAATGAAGAGAAAGGAACAGGTGAGGAAAATGGGGCTCAGAAGCCCCCACACCTTTTTTCCTTCCTACTACCTGCCTGGCTTGTTCTGGGCTCCACAGTCCCTGACAACTGGAGTGGGGGTGAACCCCCAGTCCCTGTGTGCAGGTCATGGGCTCAGGGAGCAGGCCTGAGGTCAGGAGGGGTAGGAAGGACAGGTAACACCCAAGGCCAGACCTACCCACTTATCCAAATTGGGGGCCTGTGGGGTGGGGCAGAGAGAGGAAGAAGATCAGATGATAAATGCTTCCTAGCTTGCCCACCATCCCTGTCTCCGTGCCCTGCTTAGTCAGGGCCAAACCTCACCTCCACTCCAGCCTCCACGGTGTTGGCCAGCATCTCTTGAAGTGCTCGAACGGACAGAGACTGCTCCAGGATGAAGCAGCAGATGGCCAGGTCGGGGGGCACATTCTGGAGTGGGTGGGCAGGCTTCAGCGGGGACCTGAAGACTCGCAAGTAGCATTCCCTGGCATCTTTCTTCCCTTAGTCTGGATACCCACATCTGAGACACCCAGACCAGACCCCACCCCAGCCCAATGAGGAGCTGCTGCCCCTGCCATACTCCTCAGACACTGAACCCATACCACCTCACAGGAAACACCTTTTCTACCTCAAACCTACATCACCCAGGCTCCACAGTGCCTCCCGCAGTGTTCTTCTCTCTGCCTACACCAGAAAGGAAGCTACTATTCTGTCTTCCCCATAGATAACCCCAGATCTCCTGCACTCCAACAGAAGCCCTGTCTCTGGCCTTTCTTGTCACACTGTCCCCGTCCTGTCTTGCCCCTTTGGCCCTCAGACATGATTGCACATTGATTTACCTTCACACCTAGTGTCACACCTCCATTCTCCTCCCACCTGCTCAGATTCATGAACCCCCTGCCCCTTAGGCACAGACTCTGCCCTTCAGCCCCTTCATTCAGCCCCTGGTAAAACCCTCACCCATTAGATTCACGCCCCTATCCCGTACACTCTTCTCTCAGACCCTGAGTCCACCTCCCTCTCACACCCCAGGTTCCCTCGGCCTTTCAGTCACCAGTGCCCTCCCGTCAGCCCGCTGCTGGCATTGCCGTCACCCTTACAGAGCCTTCACTCCTGGACCCAGGACCACAGGCATCTCAGCCCCCTGCCTCTCAGGGCACCTTCCTCTCACACCCCTAAGACTGTCACTCCCCACGCCCCGCAGATGCCCTCAGTCCTTCCTATCTCAGGCTCTAGACACGACCCTGAGGCCCCTCCTCCTTGGGCCTCCAGTCCTTGGCCCTGTGGCTCACTCTTGCAGTCCTTCTCCCTCAGGTCCCGCTCCTAGACCCTCTGGTCACCTCCCCTTGGACCTAACGCTGCTTGATCCTTCAGACAACTTGGCTGAGAAAAGCTCTGAAGCAGCAACTCCCATCTGGCCTCCCAGCCCTCCATGTGCACAGGGCTCCACAAGATTCTCCATCCCTCAGACCCACCTCAGAGCCCTAGACCCCTTCCCACCTCAGACTCCTTTCCACCTCAGCCCCCTTCCCACCTCAGGCCCCTTCCCACCTCAGGCCCCTTCCCACCTCAGACCCCTTCCCACCTCAGGCCCCTTCCCACCTCAGACCCCTTCTCCTCCCAGACCCCGCCCCTTCTCCTCTCAGCCCCTTCCCCCATCCTCCTCCCAGGGAGTCCCCTTCTCACAGCGCCTGCTCACACCGACCTGCGCGTTGCTGGTGGGCTCCAGGAAACACAGGCGGTTGCCGAAGCCCTCAGCGGCCAGGCAGAGCTTGAGCTGCTCCTTGAGTACGGTGGCGCTGCACTGCAGGACCACCTCGTCGTCCTGAGGGAGCCGAGGGGAAGGCTCTTTGGTGGGACCAGCCAGAGCATCGTAGCCTACACTACTTGCTCTGGCCGCTCACCTCACCCTTTTCCATATGGATGAGGCTGCAGCTGCTGAGAACACCTGCACACCAGCCAGAGCCGGCGGCTGGGCCCTCTGCCGACTCCTAAAGGCCCCACAAGATGGGAACCAGTGCCATCCCATTCTAAAACTAATGTGTTTATTTTGAAATGACATCTTACTGTTGCCCAGACTGGCATTGAAGTCCTGGGCACAAGCGATCCTCCTGTATCAGTTTCCTGAGTAGTTTAAGACTACCAGCACAGAGACCAGGTGTGGGGGCACAAGCCTGTAACCCCAGCCCTTGGGAAGCTGAAAACAGGAGGATCACTACGAGTCCAGTCTGTGTAGTGAGCCCCTGTAGACCTTGTACTAAATACAAAAAAGAAAGAGGAAGAAAGAGAAAAGAGCAAAGAAAGAAAGAGAAAGCCTGACTTTCAGCACCCACTAACACACCCCAATCATTCTATTTGAAAATGGAGCAATTTTCCAGGTGTGGTGGTGCAAGCCTGTAATCCCGGCACACCTAGGCAGGAGGATCCCCACAAATTCAAAGCCAGTCTGAGCTACACACTGAGTTCAAGATCAGACTGCAATACAGAGCAAGTTTCAAACACTAAAAAAAAAAACATAGTAAATACGTAAAAGACCACACAGTCAAAGAAGGAGCTTGGATTTTAAACCCAGCTGCCCCCAGAGGGTTTCCCTGGAGGTGAAAAATAGCAACAACCTTACAAGTTTAAGTGGATTTTTTTAAAGTTCATCCTCTAATTTCTCTTCTGTGCAGTCCTGTAATGACAGCTGGCATTTGTAGAACCCTTCCTAATGGCACCTGAATGTCCTCTGCGGGTCTGCATGGGATCCTGGGTGAAGGCTAAGTGCCATGAACAACAGGACAGAGACAATTGTTCCAAGCTGAAAGAGGTTGGGGATTAGATAACACTAGGGTCACAGCTAATGCAAGCTTCTGACTTTGATAGCTGTGCTGTGGTTTTGTTAAAAACAAAGACAAACAAACAAACAAAAACCTGCCTTCATTCTTAAGAAACATATTCTGAAGTTAGAGCTTGTTATTAAGGATATCATATCGGCAGCTTACTCTCAAAGAGTTTAGGGAAAAAATATGGAGAGAGAAGAAAAAAAAGATAAAAGCACACATCCCAAACTAATATTTGGGGAAATGACAAGGCCTGAATAGGGAAGAGATCTTTGAACTCATCTTTCAACTTTGCTATAAATGGGAAATTATGTCAAAGATGATAAATTAAATTTTCAAACAAGATAAAAGTGTCTTCCGTGTGCTAAGTCCCATTCCAAGAACTTGATGGGTATGAATTCATTTAATTGTCACAAGAAACCTATGAGGGAAATTCCTATTTTGAAAAGTGGAGAAAAGTGAGAGCCAGAGAGGAGAAGAGAACTATGTGGTCACACAGCTGGTGTAGGGCATGGCTGGGATCTGAACCCCAGGAAGGAGGAGGCTCTGTGCGTCACATGCCATCTCTTATGTGATCTAACATGACAACTAATGGAAATATACATCTGTATTGGATTTTTTTTTTTTTTTTTTTTTTTTTTGGTGGAAACAGGGATTGAACTCAGGCCCTTGCGCTTGCCAGGGAAGCACTTATTCTGCTGAGCCAAATCCCAGGTCCCTTGGAATTTTTTTGCTAAACATTTTTACTGCTAGAGGTCTTGGTCAAAACTGATGGACTCTGGCTCTTAACCATTGAGTAAGGTCATACTGATTCCATTTTATGTCAGTGAAAAACAGTTCAAATGGCTGGATGTCCTAGCGAGGCATGGGCATGCACACCTGTAATCCCAGCACTTAGGAGGCTGAGGCTGAGGCAGGAGGCTCACTGAGAGTCTAGAGCCAGCCTGAGCTACACAGGGAGAGCCTGCCTCAAAAATCAGCATGAAAAACCAAAACTAAACAAAAGAGATTAAGTGACCTGCCCAAGGTCACATGGTCACCAGCCTTCCAGGCATGTCCTACAAACATGTTCCCATTCTGAGCTTCAGCCCACATAGTATGTCCATCCAGCCTGGGGGATGGGAGCAGCATGAGCTGATGCAGGCGCCCCAGGACTGCTTCTTGTGACCTCTAACCCTGACCTCCTATGCATCTGTGTATTCATAGTACTCATGTAGCTCAGACAGTATTAAGTAGTTATTAGCTTCCAGCCCTTATGCCCAGGTTAACTTAACAGGCATTTATTGGACACCAGCTAGGCACTCTTCTAGGCATTGAATGCAGAGCTTTGATAAAGTAGACCGAAAGCCCTGCCCCCAGGAGCTGTTGTCCTATGGCAGAGACACAATAAACACAGGAGTAATTTTTTTTTTTTTTTTAGTTCTGAAGATTGGATGGATCGAGGGTCCTTGCATTGAGCTACATCCCCAGCCTTGTTTTGTTTTTTAATTTTGAAACAAGGTCTCACTACGTCACTAAGTTGCCCAGGCTGGGTTGAACTTGAGATCCTCCTGCCTCAGGCTCCCACAGTGCTGGGATTACAGACATGCACAACCATGCCCAGTATAAATATGTAATTTTTAAAAAAATTTTATTTATTTATTTTTATGTGGTGTGTGTGTGTGTGTGTGTGTGTGTGTGTGTGTGTGTCCAGCTCAGCCCACCAGGGGGCAGGGCTGGCTGGCATGTGGCGCTGGGGGATTGAACCGCGATCCCTGTGCTTTGCTGAGCTTGTTCTAAGTAGGTGCTTTAGACCACTGAGCCATCTCACCAGCCCCTAAGTATATAATTTTAATGTCAATGATAAGCATGATGGAAAAAATAACACAGGGTGATGTAAGAGTGTGGCTCTGGGGTAAGGATGACATCAGTGAGGGGATGACGTGACGGGCTGTCCAAGGAGGTGACATTTGAACTGAATCATGTCCAAATAGTGGGAGGGAACCATGCCTGCTCATCTCTGAGTGAGGAAGCTTCCAGGAAGAGGAGGTGGCCCGCACAGAAGTTTGTGACTAGAGATGCTGGGTATGGGGAGGAACAGCAGGGGGACAGGATGGTGGGGACAGCAGGACCACTGTGAGGCAAAAGAGAGGAGGTGAGGTGAGAAACACTTACATATACCCCTTAAGTCCTCACTGGTTGTATTTTTCTCCATTTTCACAAGAGGAAGGTGAGGGGCTGGGGAGATAGCTCAGTCAATCCCCAGTACCGCAAAAAAAAAAAAAGAGGAAGTTGAGGTTTAAGAAGAAAAATTCAAATCACTTGCTCACTTAAGATGCAGGTGAATAGCCAGGATATAAAAAGGCAAGGAACCAATCATTATACCATCGATTCTCACACTTTCTCCTGCGTCGGAATGAAGCGGGGAGGATATTCTGTCTCTCTCTGTCTTTCTCTGAGTCTCTGTCTCTGTCTCTGTCTCCCCCCTACTCCCCATGAGATCTCGGTATGTTCCTCAGGTTGGTCTTGAACATGCAGGGACCAGGACCTTCTGCCTCCTGAGTGCTGGCATTATAGCTGTGTGCCACCCAGCACCCTAGAAGTGGTCAGATTTAAAATACAGCCTCCAGGGCTGGTGAGATGGCTCAGTGGTCTAAAGCACCTACTTAGAACAAGTTTAGCAAAGCATAGGGACTGCGGTTCAATCCCCCAGCACCACATGCCAGCCAGCCCCGCTCCCTGGTGGGCTGAGCTGGCCACACACACACACACACACACACACACACA